TAGATGATAAATAAGGAGGTTGACCTCCTACATTATTGGTTGGTCCAGCCATGCTGTCCTCACTCTGCTTGTATAAATGCAGAGAGAAATGTCTGGATCAAGCACCCCGCGCCCCAAACCCGGTTATTTTAGGGGGAGGGATCTGGGGAAATTTTTCACATTTTCTAAAAAACCTTTATGTAATGCTCAATTTTTAATAGATCTGTGAGTTTATAAAAACAAGAGACTCATGATTTTAAAAACTGCTGGGGGCCAGAGCAAGAAGACGTGCCTGCAGCTTACTCCCGCATCCTGACAAGCACAACTTCGTGAGCACGCAGTACCTGCCACGCTCTGCACGCGAGACACGGTGGTGGGCACGGGCCGTCCACAAGCAGCCCGGGGGCAGGGGGGACAGACCAACGGACAGCAGAGCACACATACGTGAACGAGAAAAACGCCACAGTACATGCTGGGGGGAGGGGTCCTGAGGAGGGGACTCTGAGGTGGAGACTTCAATGGGAAGGAGGAGCCAGCCACGGATTCAGGGGATGAAGCATCTGGGCAGAGGAACCACCCACGCAGAGCCCAAGGGCCAGGAGCAGAAGAGCAGAGGTAAGAAGAGGGGGACCCCGATCACAGGAGTGTGGAAGAAAACGACTCCACTGCAAGTGGGACGGCAGCTTTGACACAAGGGTGCAGGACTTAGGTTCCAGAAAGCCCTGTCTGGCTGAGCAGAAAATGGATTTGGGTGGCAGGCCACCGGAGCGAAAACAGCCTCCTTCTAGAAGGACAGTCAGTGGTCCAGGCGAGAGAGAATGGCGGCTTGGACTGCACACCGGGACTCCCCAGCCTCGGCACTCCTGACACCTGGGGCTGGACAATCCTTGGTCGTGGCGGCTGGCCTACACACGGTAGGACATTCGGCGGCATCCCAGCAGCGTACTGCCGGGGTCCCCAAATATCCCTTGTGGACCGCAGGCCCAAGGCGGAAAGCGGGGACCGCACCTCGACGTGCTCTGCGGGGGGAGGGGGGGCGCGGACCCTGCTGATGAGCTGAATGTGGGCGGGGAAAGAAAGAAGGATCAAAAAATATCTCATCCTCACAGAAAAACAGCATTTAAATAACACTAGCTACTTTTCACTCCTTTTACAAAACTACCCTCTCTCTTCTTCCTCAATCACCTTCATTCCCCACAGGACGGTGCAGATGGAGTAGCTGAGGGCCAGGGGCTGCATGGGGCTACTAGGAGTTGGGGTCACTAGAGCTTTCCAGGGTCCCCCGGGTCTCCGCTTCCTACAGATGTTGAGTGCCCCCACTGTCTGTCCCCATAATAAAAGCCTGTCATGAGCTTCCCCCACGTAAAGTACTGCATGCTCCCAGACTAAGGAGCATCATTTTCAAGCCCTTGCAGGCCTGAGAGAAGCAAAGACAGAGCTGCTGAGTGTTTAACATTCTGGAAGGGGTGTTAAGGAACGTGGCTTTTGGCCTCCAGAATCTGTCTAAATGCGTCACAGCTCGGGTGGAATGTCTGGGGGTGAGGCAGCACTTGACTTGGGTAAAAGTGACCCAGAGATGAGGCAACGCTTCTTCTGAAAGACCCTGAGACCATTCTGCCTCAAGGCGGCCGAGGGGACTCCACAGGCTGCAGGAACCAAACACCGAGCGGTTGGCAGAAGAGGTCTGGCATCCAGCGCCACCCACACCCGGGGGGCGAGGACATGCGCTGCACAACGGCAAGGGGCGCTCCTCACACAGGCCACACTGTAGGTCTTCCCCCGGGGACAGTGCAGTCCCTCTTGAGGGGACAGAAGCCCGCAGTCCTGGCATTTAAAACTCCTAAGGTTCTGGCTAGGAAGACTGTTCCATGCTTAGATGACAATAGAAACACCAGCAAAATACGAAAGGACATGCTGACTCCCGCTTTCAGAGTAGGAATTCAGCGTTCGGCTCTGGACGCGGAGTTCCTTAGGATGTGAAAGCTCATCGCGGTCACGGAAGGAAGAGGAAGCGGGTGAGAGGTCAGTGGAAGACAGGGAAGGGAACTTCTTTAAGAGATCACAGGGTTGCTGAATTTTCCAAGCCCAGGCCTGCATTTCTCACAGGACAATTCTAGCTCTTGGGAAAGAGACCAAGTTCCAGGCGGGAGGTGCTCCAAGTGGGGCTGGGGGGGCTGCTCGTCAACCACAGTCAAGCACCACAGGCCGGGTCTATGTTACGGTGAACCCCAACGGGCTGTCCACCTTCCCTGCTACGAAGGAATTCTGCTGTATCGAAGGCTGCTCGAAAGAAGAGTCCTTTTGTGTAGAAGGGAGAGGTAGATAAGTCGTCTGGTCCTCCAGGCACTTGTGGGAGGGGCACGGACTTGCACAGGATTTGATGTGCGGACAGTGCGGAGGCTGGCCTTGTTTGCAGGAGGCCAATATGGGAAAACAGAAAGTGTCCTGGACCTGGAACCAGACTCCTAAGTCCAAGTCTGGTCCTTGCCACTTCCAAGCCACGTGACCATGGGGACACTGCAAAACTCAGTCTTGGAGGTCTTCAAACCATGAACACGGGAACCAGAATAAACCTAAGACTCCTCTCACTGGATAGCACTGGTAGGACGGCCCAGGCAAGTGACGCAGTGCTACGGAGATGCACGGTATCCTGCTCGTACCAACCCATAATAGCGAGAACTCGTGCTGATTTCTGGACGAGAGGGCTCTCTCCAGCCATAAAAGAGCAGCTACACCACTTGGCCCCTCTCGTACCCGAGGATGCAAAAATAGCTTCAGTTCCAAGAAACTGCTCAAAGTTTCTACAAACTGCTCCTGCCTCTTTTCCTTCCCAGCTCAGCCCCGCCGTTATTTTATTAGCAATCTGAGAAGAGACGCGCCACCGGCAGCCCAGGCCCCAGTCCCACTCACCGTCACCACCACGTAGAAGCACCATACCACCGAGCTGAGATGAAAGATGACCAGCTGCCCAGATTCGTTGAACTTGCTGTGTTTGACCTTGGAGAGGTGAAGCCGTTTGCTGATTTTCTAAGGAATAAAGAGAATCGTGCATGTTAATATATGCAGGTGGATGGGTAATGCGTGGGCTTCGAACTCCCATTTCCCACCCATGAAAGGGCAGCAGGTGGCCATGACCCGGGCTAGTCCGTGTAAGCCTGCTCTGTGCACAGAGCGCTCAGTTCAAGGCAAGCATTTTGAGAGAGTGGCAAGATGGAGGTCTTCAGCCTAGATGTAAAGAAAACATCCCCCGATCAGGCTAGAGGACAGACCCATAAGGATGCTGCCCTGCCATTTCAGGTGTGTGACGCCCTCACATCATTAAGTGCTGCCGTCCCACGCGCTAAGAAGGCTGCGAGCGGGGACAGAAACCACGGTGTGTGGCAAGGGATGTCCAATCAATAGGACCAATCAGGGCACACAAATTAGGAAGCAAAGGGGCCCAGAGCTGCAGTCTCCTCTGGGGTGAGGCCCCACTGCCCGTGGCATCTCCCCAGCTTCTGATGTCAGGACCCACACGCATCACTCACGTCTAAAATGTACTCCTGAACCACAGCATGCAGGATGATGGTGATGAAGACGTAGAACAAGATGGTGACCAGGTCCTTGGGCCCATAGTGGTAGTGCACGGTCTCACTATCTGTGGAGGTAAGAAGAGCCACATCGGCATCCCTGGGCTGAGGAAGTGCTGTGGGACCCCAAACTGGAGACCTCTGAAGCAGAATGTGCCGTGCTGTACCCCTAGATGCAGAAGACAGCTTCGTCCCTAGAATCCTACCCAACCTCTGGACGCGGCCCTTGGGAAGTGCCGACGGGGAGGGTTATGCCATGACTACCACCTCCCCTGCCTCTGGGCAGGAGAGCACGGTGGTTAGGAGGCAGGGTGGGAGACAAGCAATCTCCAGCTCACCCTGGCTGTGTGACTAGGCAGAAGTAACCAACCTCTCTGAGCCGCAATTTCCTTCCCTGTAAGATGGGACTGCAGCCTTCAGTAGGGAAGCATGCAGTGGGGGCTAGAAGTGTGGACTCAGAAGCCTGAGTTTGTATCACAGCTCTGTCATTTCCTATGTGACGCTGGGACACCGCTCTATGTGACCTTTCTGTGCCTCAGTTTCCTTATCTGTAAAATGAGGGCAAAAGCAGTTCCCGTATCGTAGGGTTTCCCTGAGAATCAGAGGACTTCAATGCAAAGGGCTCAGAACTCTATCTAGCACACAGTAAGTGCTACAGATGTATTTGTGACTATTTTTGTTGTTGGGCTAGCGTGAGCATTAAATGAAATTATTTGTATGCGAGGTGCTGATCACCGTGTCTACACCCATGGCGAGCATGCAATAAATGGTAGTTGGATGAAGTATCACTTAATGGCAATAAATCAGATAAGAATCCCAGACGTACAAGCCTTGTAAAGCTCTGCGGTGGCAGCCTCCGTGTTCCACGGACAGAGGAGGGTTTCTACCTTCGTTCCAGTTAGCAGGCTAGGGATGCCAGGGCTCGTGAACCCAGGCCTGGATCTCTGCCACTCACACGCCGAGTCACACACCCATGAATCATCGCTCTCTGCCGGGATGCATTTACCAGAAGGTAGACGGGGGTCGGGGAGCTTCAGGGTGGCCACAGAACGGAGCAGAGCCACGCCCCGCCCTCTGCCACCCTGGACTTAGGAGAATGGACGGTCCACGGTGCCGAGGGAGCCCCGAGGTCAGACAGACTTGCCTGTTTCCTCTGCCGCCGCCTTTCCACAAGGACCTGCCCGTGAGGGGCCCCGGGCTAACTGCCAAAGTGTGGAGAGGAGAGACACTGGCCCAGCTTCGGAGCACGCAGACCGGTGAGGAGACGGACAAGCAAACGTACAATGACCCCACGGACAGGCACACGGGGCCAAGAGGTACACAGAGCACCCCAGCGAGCCACGGCAGGCCAGGGCCCAATACCTGGGTGCCCCGTGAAAGGGGGTGGACTTGATCCTGAAGGCAACACGGACACATCGGAGAATTCAGATTCAACAGGCAAACGATGAAATATGGGCTTAGGGAAGTGGACTCCAGCAACGGTGAATGATGGCGTGCCTGGAGGTGAAGACACCAGTCAGGGGGGCTCTGCCCGCCGTGATCCACATCGGGAACCACAGAGGCCTGCAGTAAAGCAGGACGACGGCCGTCGGTGAGAAGGGGCAGCACGCGGCGCCGGGCCCTCCCAGGGGCTGAGGGCTGGGTGGGGGTGCGTGGGGAAGAGGCAGGCATGGGGGCCGGAGAAGGCACTGGAGGTGGGAGGACAGCTGGGAGGACACTTGCCCCACCTCCTTCAGAAGGGAGGACCAAAGCACACACACTCGATGGGGGCATATTTTGAAACCATAAAATAAACACATGCAAAGTTTCGTCGAGACCGGCATTACCGGGCAAAATGGGATTTATATTCAACCAAACAAGCACGGTCCCAGAGTAGTGAGACAACACCTGTCAAGACTTTGGATTATCTTCTTTAAAGCCTCTTCAGAGCCACCTGCCGTTCTTCACCCCAAATACCATGGTTCCAAAGAGATGCGACCCTTGCTTTCGATCCCTCTTGAAACAAGAATGAGTGTGTGAATATAGTCGTTCATCCCTTCGCTGTTGAGAGCGACATGCGTGTTTTTCCATCAACAAATAGCCCAAGTGCACGGCTCCATTCTGGGTGCCAGGAGAAGACCATGAACAAGGTGGGCCCGGCCCTGCCCTCCTGGAGCATCGTGAGTGCACACCAAATACTCACACTAAAAAACCGGAGGCTGAAACTACAACACAGCAGCAGCAAAACCCACACAAATCACCAGAGTAAAAAATGGGCAGAGGACTTGAATAGACATTTATCAAAAAAAGACATACGAATGGCCAACAGGTATATGACGAAGTGCCCACCATCACTATCATTAGGGAAATGCAAATCAAAACCATGATACAACCTCCCATCCATTAGAATGGCTACTTTTTTTTTAAAAAAAAAAACACCAAAAGACAGGAAATAACAAGTGTTGGGGAGGACGTAGATAAATTGGAGCTTCTGTACAGACTGTAGGAATGTAAAATGGGACAGCCACTATGGAAAGCAGTATGGTAGTTCCTAAAATATTAAAAATAGTAAACTCAAAATGGATGAAAGACCTAAACATAAGATCTGAAGCCATAAAAACTCCTAAACAAACACATAGGCAGTAATCTCTTGGACATCAGCCTTAGCAACTTTTTTTTGGATCTGTCCCCTGAGGTAAGGGAAACAAAAACAAAAATAAACTACTGGGCCTACTCCAAAATAAAAAGCTTCTGCAGAACAAAGGAAATAAAACAAAAAGGCAACCTACAGAATGGAAGAAGGTATTTGCAAATGATCTATCCAATAAGGGGTTAATATGCAAAATATATAAAGAATTTATACAAGTCAACACACAATAATGATCTGATTAAAAATGGGCAGGGGACCTGAATAGACATGGTTCCACAGAAGACATCCAGATGGCCGACACATGAAAAGATGCTCAACATCACTCATCAAAATCAAAAACCACAATGGGAGAATACGTCACATCTGTCAGATGGCTATAATCAGACAAGAAATAAGCGTTGGTGACAATGTGGAGAATAGCCTTGTGCACTGTAGTGGGAATGTAAATTGGTCCAACCACTGTGGAAAACAGTATGGAGGTTCCCCCCCAAAAATAGAAATAGAACTACCATACAATCCAGCAGTTCTACTATGGGTATTGACCCAAAGCAAATGAAATCACTCATTTGGAAAGATATCTGCACCCCTATGTTTACTGCAGCAGTATTTATAACAGCCACATTATGGAAGCAGCCTGAGGGTCCACTGAGAAGATGAATGGATAAAGAAGATGTAATCGGATATTACTCAGCCATAAAAAAAGGAGATCTTGCCATTTGTGACAGTATGGATGGACCCTATGGGTATTATGCTAAGTGAAGTCAGACAAATAAAAATACCTTATGGTTTCACTTATATGCGGCATGTAAAAAACAAAAAAACCACCAGACTCCCATATACAGAGAGCAAACTGGTGTCTGCCCGAGGGTGGGGGTGGCGGTGGGGGATGGGTGAAATAAGTGAAGGGGATTAAGAGGTACACCCTACCAGTTATAAACTAAGTCAGGGGGGTGAAAAGTACAACATAGGGATAGAGTCAACAACATTGTAATATCGCCATATGGTGACAACACCCAGGGTGGTGAGCACAGTGTTGTGAACAGAACTGTCCAATCACTAGGTTGTACACCTGAAACTAATACAACACTGTAGGGCAGCTATATTTCCATCAAAAAAAATTAAAAATAGAGTTACCGTATGATCCTGCAATTCCACTTTGGGGTACATGCTCGAAACAACTGAAAGCCGGATCTCCAAGTACTATTTGGGTACCCATGTTCATAGCAACACTTTTCACAATAGCCAAAGGTAGAAATGAGCCAAGTGTCTATTGACAGATGGATGGACAAACAAAATGCAGTATGTAGACCCACAAAAGAATATTACTCAGCCTTAAAAAGGAAGGAAATCCTGTCGTGGGCTACGGCACAGATGAACCTGCAGGTGTATGTAGTCTGATTCATAGACACAAACCAGAACGCCCGGGAGCGGGGGCCGGAGGGAAACGGGGAGTTGCTAGTCAATAGCCACAAAGTTGTGGTTCTGCAAGCACAGGGTTCTGGAGATGGGCTGCTCCACAGCATCCATGTATTTAACACTACTGAACTGTACACTTAGAAATGGGGACGATGGCAAATTTTATCCTCTACTTAAATTAAAAACCCACCCCCAGTGGCCAGGTGTTAGGTAAGTACTCTGACCAAAGGCTGAAGGGGAAGGAACAGGGAGCAGAAGCATCGCTCGCTCAAGGAAGGGACACAGCCGAGCTGTGCAGGGGGAGAGCGCTGGCGAGGGCAGAGGCCCCAGGCAGATGGGGTGGGGGGGTGGGGATGAGGTTGGAGCAGGGGTCTGGGAGGCTGCAGAGGTGGGAGGGCCAGCTCATGACCTTCAGGTCCCCTGACAGGTCCCGGCAAGGTCTGAAAGGCACTGGCAGGCTCCTGAGGCTTTCAGGCCCGTATTTATGAAGCTCACTCTTCCTGCCACATGGAGAAGAACTAGAGAAGCGTACACAGAAGGCAGAGGGCATGGTGGCAGAGCCACGGCGAGAAGACACATCCGGATAGATGTGGGTGACGGAGCAGCCCTGGGGAATGGTTCTCAAGTTCCTTCTGGAACCTCATCGGCACTCTGGAGCCTTCCTTCATGGTTTCAGCATTCTGCGACATGTGTTCTTCTGTTTGATCTCGTGAGATGGGCAAGGAGAGCAGCGGAGGACATGGGGTTCAGAAAGGTAAGGGACAGGAGCCCTTCTCAGGGCTCCCAGGGGCTTCAGCGTCCCAGCCCAGCCACCAAACACCACCTCAGGGCCAACATGACCCACTCACCCCCACCCCTGTCCCGCATCCTTACTGGTGATGATCCATTCCCCTGAGGTCCTTCTCCTAGTCTGGTAACAAGTAGCAGCATCCACAAATACTCAAAAGCTGTGCTCTGATTCATACACAGTATCTCTGGTGCTTTCCCCTGATCCGCTATCTCCCCACTTTTGATCAAAGCAGGAAAGGAACCTGGTTTGACGGTTTGGCTCCTACTGCTCTCCACAGAGCCACGGAGGCTGGAACTTTGTGATCTTCCAGGAGGCCAGAAACCTTTACTAGTTTTGCAGAAAAGTAACTTGAAGCAGGTCTCTGAGCCGTTAGACCAGAGAGGCCCCCCTGGTCACAAGGCGCAGCAAAATGCCGACAGGTACCAGGTGGATAACCCAAACGAGCAAGCAATCCAGGTCTCGCAAGATCACACCTTTCAGCACAGAGGTCCGCTGCCTTAGACAGCGGACATCGCCCCTTCCACAGTACAGCTGTAAACAGAGCGCCCTCTTGGTCTATCGTTCACCTTCCTGCTTTGAGAGAGGGACACGTTTAAGAAATAGCCACTTTCCCATAAAGAAGGCGTGGTATACACACACACAGTGGAATATTACTCAGCCATCGAAAAGAAGGAACTCTTGCCATTTCCAACGACATGGATGGAGTGACAGTACCTTATGCTAAATGAAAGCAGAGAAAGACAAAAACCAGATGATCTCACTCCTATGTGGAATTTAAGAAAACAGATGAACATATGGGAAGGGGGAGAAAGGAGAGAGGGAAACAAGCCATAAGAGACCCTTAATGACAGAGAGCAAACTGAGGGCTGATGGATGGAGGTGGGGGGGATGGGCTAGGTGGGGGATGGGTATTTAGGAGGGCACTTGTTATGAAGAGCACTGGTTGTTGTATGTGTCGAATCAGTGATTTTTTACTCCAGAAACCAATATTGCACTGTATGTTCACTAAAATTTAAATTTTAAAAAAGTTCTCAGTATAAGAAAAAAAATATATATCCACTTTCTTTTCCACCTTACTAAAAGACAGTTAAAGGGGTGCCTGGGTGCCTCAGTCATTAAGCGTCTGCTTTCGGCTCAGGTCATGAGCTCAGAGTCCTGGGATCGAGCCCCACTTCAGGCTCCCTGCTCAGCGGAGAGCCTGCTTCTCCCTCTCCCTCTGCCTGCCGCTCTGCCTACTTAAGCGCTCTGTCAAATAAATAAAATCTTTTTAAAAATAAAAGACAATTAAAACTGGAATACACAGTAACTGACAGGTAGTCTCGATGTCAGGGATGCTAGAAGGGAGGGTGACTGTGGGAAGCCACAAAGCATATGTCCCCCGGGGGTGATGAAAGAGTAGGAAAGGTGCTCCTCAGAGACTGTGGCCAGGGGAGGGGTGCAGCCCAGTGTGGCCAGATTCCTGATATTCCAGAAGCAAAGAGAAAAATTTTTACATGAAATCATCTGATTTAAAAATATTGACTAATTGAAAATTACAGAAAAAAAAAAAACCACTTCATGGGCCAACACCCCACTAGCCAAAGAAAATAAATCTGCAGGCCAACTCTGACCATGGGCCACCAATATGGAGCCTCCAGCCTACATGACCCCTGACACCCTTCCTCCTATGCACCGCCCCCCCCCCCCCCGCCCGAGTATGTCAATATGCCCTTCCGTAGGAATCAATCCAACTTCGGAAGAAAGCACCTTCAGTACTGATCTTCCAAGTGCAGATGCATTATTCCTCTCCCATCAAACGTGGCATTTGCTTGGCTTATCTCTGATCCCGGTTTAAAAAGAGAGCTAGAGTCATCAATACGAGCCTTGGCTGTTTTGACCACCTCTGTCAGCAGCTGTCCCTTGACGGGAGTAACGTTCTTATGGACATCCTGTTTTGCTTCCTATGACTAAGAGATACATTCCCGTTTCCTTTGGTGTCACCTGTAAGCAGCTTCTGCCGTCTGCCTTACGTGTGCCCATCTCGTCCAGGTACTCCCGTGTGGTCTCGCACGTCTTGCTGTGACTTGAGCTGGTTGGTGGCCACCTAGAGCCAACCTAGCCACCTTTCAGATCCTTAGAGTCTGGGTATCTGCCAACGAGCCTTGCGCCTGTATGTGAAAAGCTGGCTGTTCCGAGAGCATCGCTGCACAATCCGGCTGTCTCTTGGTTCCTGGTGCCCTTCCTAACGCCTGCACACCCAGGATGACAAAATGCACTTTCTGCGGGTTTCTGTGCTTACGGCCAACTCTGTTTCCACGTTATTTTGAAGTTCTAAAAGAAGAACTTAGGGGCGCCTGGGTGGCTCAGTGGGTTAAGAAGTCTGCCTTCGGCTCAGGTCATGATCCCAGGGTCCTGGGCTCACGTTCCCGGTCAGTGGGGGTCTGCTTCTCCCTCTGCCCCTCCCCCCGCTTGTGCTCTCTCTCTCTGGCACGCTCGCTCTCAAAATCTTTTTTTTTTTTTTTAAAGATTTTATTTATTTATTCATGAGAGAGAGAGGCAGAGGGAGAAGCAGGCTCCCAAGGAGCAGGGAGCCCGATGTGGGACTCGATCCCAGGACCCTGGGATCATGACCTGAGCCGAAGGCAGACGCTTAACCATCTGAGCCACCCAGGCGCCCTCGCTCTCAAAATCTTAAAAAAATTTAAGACCTTAGATACAAAAAAAAAAAAAAAAAAAACCACCACAAGGAAAATCAAGAGGCAAATGATCACCTGGGGGAAAATATTCGTAATTCAGATGATAAATGAAAGACTAATCTTGCTAATATGTAAAGAGCTCCCACCACTTGAGGATAAAAAGATCAAAACTGCAACAGAAAAATGCACAAAGATATGAACAATTCACAAAGAGATAGCCCTTATGCATTTAAAAAGATGCTCAACCCTACACCGAAGAGAAATGCAAATTAAAACTACCGTGAACCTCCATTTCAGACCTATCAGATTGGCAAAAATCCAAAGCTTGACAATATACTCAGGCTCTCTTTCACACACCACTGATGAGAATGCAAAATGGACCCCCTCTTCGGAAGGGCAATTTGGCAATTTCTATCGAGATTACAAGTGCATCCACCCTTTGATGTGGCAACTCCACTTCTGGGAACTTATCTCACAGTAATACCTGCCATGTTCAAAATGACATGTGTACAAGGTTATGCAGCACAGCACTGTTTTAACAATAAACTAACGGCAGCAATCCACGTGGTTTTCATCTACTGGGGCCTGGTTACAGAGGTCCCAGTTCTAATGCCCTGGGGCTACTCAGAGTGGGGTTGCAGACCAGCAGAACCAGCAGGACCAGCAGCACCAGCATCAGCTGTGAGCCCAGAGATGAATGCTCGTGCAATCCACCCCAGACACTCCGGGGAAGGCCCCGGACTTCACACTTAATGAATCTCCAGGTGATTCTGATGCATACTAAATTTAAGAAGCGCCAACATAAACAATGGAGCTATTTTTAAAAATGAGAGCCCAAGATCAAAAACAGGGGAAACTAATCAGGAGATTTAGACAGCAGAGTAATGGTCGCTTTGGGAAGGGGTACTGGCTAGGAGGTTGCTGGCAGTGTGCTTCGCAGAACGTGCTAGACCTCAGGAGGGTTTGTGAGGAAAACGACGAGGCTCTCCACGTGTCGCCATGGAAGGATATCCAGGACCGATTACTCAGTGGGGGCAAAAAGCAAGGTACAGAACACACAGTATTCTACCAGTTCTAGGAGAAAGAGGAGAAAGGAAACATGCATATTTGTATGTGCATAAAGAAACACTGGAAGGGGAGAGGAGAAATCCAGCAAGGGCACACAGGAAACAACAGGGATTACCCACAGGGGACGGGGCTGTCAAAGGAAGAGTTCAGGGTGCGAACAAGACTTTCACTGACTTTTTTGACAGGTGAGTGTAGTTTCTACTCAAAAAGTAGTCTTTAAGTAAATACATGTTCAAATTCTTCCACTTTGTACAAATAAAATTAAGAAGTGGTATCTTTCCCACCTCATTACCCGCCCCCGACCCCCACCCCCACCCCCAGGGACCCAGACCAGGCATGGAGAGACCTGGAGCTCATTTCTGGAGCTGCCTGTCGCCAGTCATGTGATCCAGGGTCCCTCTGCCCGCACTCACCCGCCCTGGACAATGAGGATCATACCATCTACCCTATACCATCAAAGGTAGAAGGATGAAATAGATAACTGATTTATAAACTGTAAAGTGCTACACAGAGGGGATCATTCTGACCACTTCCGCCAGAATCCGAAGATAAAAGAACATAACTGTCACCATGTACCACACACAAAAGGTACTCCCACGAGGGAGCTTATTTAGGATAAAGATTACAAACAACCGCCATAAGCCATTTATTGAGCACATGCTCTGTGCCAGGCGCTGTAGTGAACACATCTTATAGGTGGCATCATTCGCCTCTCACAGGAGTCCTGAGTATTATGCCCATTTTACAGACCCAGCAGCTGAGGTTTAGAGGCCAGCAGCTAGTGAGGGGTGTGCCAAGCCCCCCAGCACACGGCCAGTGGCAGGAGGCCAAGGCCTCCTGGCTTTCTGACTCCCCTTCAAATCCTACAGACGGTGCATCTGTTAAACCCTGAAGGCCTGCCTTCTCCCCGAGGCGCCAGGAGAGGAGTGCGTCTGAGGACAGGCGTGGGGCCCAGGGCCTCAAAGGGCAGCATCCTGCAGCACCCTGACCTCCACTCCTACTCCGTCCAGCCAGGCTACCAGGCCATGCCCTCACTAGCCTCCCGACCCGGGAGATGGGGCCAGCGGCATCACAACCACAAGCACCACCGAGGTGCTCACACGCACTCAGCTGTTAGGAGTTGACCGTGGCTCCCCCCACCCCAAAATGATTAAGCTGAAGTCCTAACCTCTACCACCTCGGAATAGGACCTCCCTGGGAACACAGGGTCTTTACAGAGGTCAAGTTACAGTGAGATTATTAGTGTGGGCCCTAACTCAATTTGACTGATGTCCTTACAAAAAGGGGAAACTGGACATTTAGACACACACACACACACACACACACACACACAAGATAGCCATCCATACGCCAAGGAGAGGCCTGGAACAGAGCCTTCACTCAGGGCCTTCAAATGAACCAACCTGCCAACACCCTGATCTTGGAACTTCTAGCCTCCAGGACTGTGAGACAATAAATTTCTGTTACTGAAGCCAGTCTGTGGTCCTTTGTTACGGCAGCCCTAGCAAAAAGTACGTGCCTTTACACAATCCTTCCTCACACCCCCCCTCCACCCAGTTAACTAAAGATCGAGCAGAGGAATTGTCAAGGTTACCATTTTAACCCCATATTACAGGACTCGGGATACATTTTTGCCAATTTTCTAGTAAAATAGGTAAGAAAAGGATATTTTCATGAAGTGAGAGAAGCAGTAAAGAGAATTTGGAAATAAAGGGCCTAACTTTGGAATTGTTTTCTTGAAGTACCAGGCCTTTTTACAAGGCTGCAAACCCCCCGCCCCAGGGCCTTCAGGGAAGAAATACAGCATTAACTCCTAGGTGCCAAGCACACACTCAGTCCCTGCTGCAGTTTACAAACATGAGGCTTCTATCTACAACCCACCTGAGCAGAGAACATGCAGCACGCGGAGAACACCTACAGGAAGGGAAAGCGTGAGCTTTAAAAAAAAAAAAAATTGAGAGCCATAAAGGAAAAATAACTCAAGGATCACATACAAAAGAAAAAAAAAAAAAAAAGAAAAAGACCTAGAATCACAGCTTTTTTTCTCCCCCTGGATAAAAATAACAATGTCAACAAGTGCACTGTTAAATTAGGAATGAAATTTCAGTGGGAACTGAATAAGAAAACAATTATCAAAGCTAGACAGACAAGATTGGATCAGGAAAGACGAGAATGTGAAGAAGTAAAAATGTGGGGTGGGGTCCGGATCAGAGGGTGTGGGGGGAGGGAAGGGAAAGAGCAAGAAAATTCGCCAAGAGAAGGAGGCAGCGGGTCAAGGACGCCATTGCTAGGCTTCTGGCTGGTGAGCCCTCAGCCACAGCGACTCAGGGGTTCCACTTACTTAAACCTCTGGAACTGCACACTGAAGGGGATGAATCCTCTGGGCTGTTACAAGCAAATGGAGAAATCAGGTCTAGGCTGGAAAGGGTCACTGGAGGTGCTGAGGTGTTCACCTTGTGAAAACTCACCGAGCTGACCACTTATGGTTTGTCCACTTTTCTACACAATTGTTAGGCTTCGATAACAGGTGCCCTGGCGTGAAGGTGTCCTCCCCCAGCCCCAAATTCACATGTTGGAGTCCTAATGTCCTCACGTCAATGTAAAGGTGTTAGAGGTAGGGGCCTTCGGGAGGTGCCTGGGTCACGAGGTGAAGCCTTCGTGGATGGGGAACATCCCTTACAAGGGAACCCACAGTGCTCCCTGCCGCCCCCCCGACCCTCTCAGGAGGCAACAAGACGTCTGTGCCTGGAAGAGAGCCCTCACCTGACCCTGCTGGCACCCTCATCTCAGACTTCCAGCCTCCAGACCGGGGAGAAGTAAGTTTCTGTTGTTTATAAGCCACCTAGTCTGTGGTAGTTTGTTTGAGCAGACCAAATAGAGGAAGGCAGTAAGTTCAAGAACAAGTTTCAGTTTACGGATGGGGGTCACTGGCTATCAGTCCTGGGTCAGAGGCTCCCCACTCTTTTTCAGATGGTTGACCAATAAGGCCAGGGACACTGGGGAATGTGGGTTTTTTTCTTATTCATACAGACAGGACTCTAGGGCCAAAGGGAATCTTGGGGGCTGTTTGGCCCAAGGGGCCAGGACAGAGCCAGGTCTTTGCCTCCCTGGTGGGTCCCCCCCTCTCCCTACCACCCCACTTGGCAAACCCAGCCTTCCCACGGCCTGCCCGGGCCCTCGTGCTGCATGGGGTGGGAGCAGCCCAGCCTGTGGTGGATCCCTGGGAAGGTCTGTGTGTCTCAGCTCTCTCAGGGGAAAAAGGATGGGGCCAGGCTAGCTGAGCCTCGAGTATCCTCCAGCTGGGTAGGCCACAGGTCCAGGGTGGGTAGCCTGCTCTGTCATCAAGCAAGGCTCCGTCTCCAGAGTCACTGCTGCCCACCTGTCTCTTCCCTTTTGTCCCCCACAAGCTTATCTGACAAACAGGGGCTCAGTCTGATACGTGATGCCAGTCTTTCAAGTACGTGATACGAGCAGGAGACAAGACTAATTCCTGCCAGGCAGCACAGGGAACAAAAACACACTCTGAGCCCTGGACAAAGGCATTCAGCTGAATGAGGCCTGAGAACCATCCGTCTGAGGGGGTTTTACAGCAGTGTGTGTCTCGTCCTACCAGGGACCATGAGAACCACGGCCAAGCTCTGGTGGGGGAGGTCCCCGGCCTTTGCATCCCTAGCTACAAAATGTCGCCCAGCAGCTGGGGGCAATAAAGCCACCGAGGACCACGCGAGCCAGGGATGTGTCCTTGTCACCTCTGAGGACTACAAAACAAACCCTTTTCCTGAAGGGGTCCCTCAGCCTTGTTGATCGAGGGGTGCAGCAACAGGCTCAGGAATGTACAGCTACCGTGACCCCTGCCCACACTGCCTTACAAACGTGGCCATGACTTCTTGGGGAGCTATGGCCCAGCTCGAAACCAAATCTACCCCGTGGTACTCCTCACCTCCCTCCACCACCACCCGCGCCCCCTCGCCCCCAGAGACCAAAGAGTTCTAGAAGAACCAAAATTGGAAGAGCACAGAAACATACAAACGAGGGCGCCTGGGTGGCTCAGTTGGTTAAGCGACTGCCTTCAGCTCAGGTCATGATCCTGGAGTCCCAGGATCGAGTCCCGCATAGGGCTCCCTGACCCTCCCCCCTCTCATGTGCTCTCTCTCTCTCTCATTCGCTCTGTCTCAAATAAATAAATAAAAATCTTAAAAAAAAAAAAAAAAAAAGAAACACACAAACGAGTTACAGGACCGAGTGGGTCTCCGTGTCTTACCTCTGAGGTCCGAAGCACAGGGTCGTTTCAAAGCCTGCCTGGTGCTTTTTATGCAAGGCACTGTTAACAGCACTTTCCCGACTTTACAGGAATCACCTGTGGCTCTCCTTAAACAGCCAGATCTGGGGGCGCCTGAGTGGCTCAGTCCATTAAGTGGCTGACTCTTGTTTTCCACTCAGGTCATGATCTCAGGGGCCTGGGATCGAGCCCCGCATTGGGCTCCATGCTTGGCCGGGAGTCTGCTTGAGATTCTCTCTCTCCCTCTGCCCCTCCCCCTGCTCAAGTGCCAGCACACTCTCTCTCTCTCAAATAAATAAATAAATCTTAAAAAAAAAAAAAGCAAGATCTGACGCAGTTGTGTGGTGGGGCCTGGGAGCCTGCATGTCTAAAAAGTTCCCAGGTAATGTGAATGGTGCGGGTCCAAGGACAATTTGAGGGGCAAGCACTTAAGAGGACTCCCGGGGCTTCCTGCAATCAGAAAACACATGGGCTTGAGACCGTGACCATAGCTCTCAATTTTGCAGATGAAAGACGGAGACAACAAATGTTAAACAGTTCACCCAAGACAAGGGAGCAAATTAGCGGCACAACCCAAAACAACCTTATAAATGTTAAGCCCATTTGGGGTCACTTGTTCTAGATTAGATGAAAAGCTAGCAGGCCTTGAGTCATTCGGCAGATTAGCGGCACAACCCAAAACAACCTTGTAAATGCTCAACCTTGTAAAAAGCCATCCGGAGTCACCTGCTCTGGATTAGACGGAAGGGTCTGTCTGTGTAAAGAATCATCTTCTGAGCTTTTACATTCTATTTCTGGCCATAACACCAACACGTTGTGGTATTTGAATCAGAAAGAAGACTCGGGGTCTAATGGTAAGACCAAAAACTGGACATTTTATTCCTTGCCAGAGCTGGGCAGGGTGTGTGGTTGCCAGATAAAACACAAGACGACTGGGGTACCTGGGTCAGTTAAGCGCCCGACTCTTGGTCTCAGCTTAGGTCTTGATCTCAGAGTTGTTGAGTTCAAGCCCAGCCCAGAGTGGAGCCTACTCAAAAAAAAAAAAAAAAAGACCAGTTAAATTTCAGATAGATAACGAATTTTCTAGTATAACTATGTCCCATGTATAATCTGGGATACACTCATACGAAAAAAGAAAAAAGAAAATACTGTTTATCTGAAATTCAAATTTAACTGGCAGTCCTGGATTTCTGTTTGCTAAGTCTGGCAACCCTGACAGGGTAGCAAAATGGGAATAAGGACAGCAGGGATTTGGTAATAAGGAACACTTCCTGCTTCATTGCTGTTGACTTTAAAGAAAAACACAAAGATGAAGCATGACCGGCATTCCATCAGGATGCGCACAACTTATTACTACAAGAGTAATGCCCATCTCTCTGAATGGGGCTTAATCTTCTTAGCCAGCTCATTATAATGGGACAAAATCATACATTTATGGCTGGTATTATGAGTTGAATCGCATCCCTGCAAATTCATCTGTTGAAGTCCTAACCCCCGCCACTTCAGAACGTGACCTTATTTAGATATAGAAGCGTAGCAGATGCCATGAGTGAAGATGAGGTCACAGTGGGGTAGAGTGGGCCCCTAATCTAATGTGACTGATGTCCTTATAAAAAGGCGAAACGTGGATGCGGAGACTGACATGCACGCAGAGCAAATGCCATATGAAGACAGGCGTTCTGCAGCCACAAGCCAAGGAACCAGAAGCCAGGGCTGAGCCTGCAGAGGGAGCGTAGCCCTGCTGATGCCTTGACCTTGGACTTCTTGCCTCCAGAACTGTAAGACAATGAATCTCTGTTGGTAAGCCACCCAGTTTGTGGCACTTTTGTGACCTTAGCCCTATACACAGATGCAGGGAGCTGGAAGGAGGGAAGAAAGAAGGAAAGAGGCATTACCATTAGCTATTGTCCGCAGAACTTGAAAACCTCAGCCAAGGAAAGACACGGGGATTCAGAGATGGGAGACCACTTTCTATGAATACAGCCACTGCTCTACTAAATGTCCAATTTAAGGGACGCCTGGGTGGCTCAGTCGGTTAAGTATCTGCCTTCGGCTCAGGTCATGATCCCAGGGTCCTGGGGTCGAGTCCAACTTCGGACTCTTTGCTCAGTGGGAGTCTGCTTCTCCCTCTCCCGCTCCCCCTGCTCTTGCGCTCTCTCTTTCTATCTCAGATAAATAAATAAAATCTTTTTAAAATAAATAAATAAATGTCGAGGGGTGCTGGGTGGCTCAGTTGGTTAAATGACTGCCTTCGGCTCAGGTCATGATCCTGGAGTCCCGGGATCGAGTCCCGCATCGGGCTCTCTGCTCAGCAAGGGGTCTGCTTCTCCCTCTGACCCTCTTCCCTCTCGTGCTCTCTGTCTCTCATTCTCTCTCTCTCAAATAAATAAATAAAATCTTAAAAAAAAAATTCTTATAGGGCGCCTGGGTGGCTCAGTTGGTTAGGCGACTGCCTTCGGCTCAGGTCATGATCCTGGAGTCCCAGGATCGAGTCCCGCATCGGGCTCTCTGCTCGGCAGGGAGTCTGCTTCTCCCTCTGCCCCTCCCCCCTCTCATGCTCTCTATCTCATTCTCTCTCTCAAATAAATAAATAAAATCTAAAAAAAAAAAAAAAAATTCTTATAAAAAAATAAATAAATAAATGTCAAATTGAAAAACAAATAAATAAATGTTGAACTGAGCAAGTTAACACAATTTAAATAAACCTTAGAAACCGGGATTTACCCAGGTTATACAAAAAGGATACGTTCCCAAGCACCCTCAGCCTTAAAGAGATTTGGGAGGAGGGCTCTAAAAATCGCAACCTCAACAGACCTGTTATTGTGAACTGCTGTTTTCCCATGAGAAGTTTGCTTTCCTTCTGTACTTACAAACCAAACATGACCGTACGGAACTGGTGCTTAAGGAGGCCCAACACAAAATTAAGCAGGCCGTTCTGATTTCATTGCTTCTCTTGATTATTTGCTTGTCATATTTCAACTTGCCCCAAATGGCAAGATTTAAGCAAGAGATAGGCTATTTAACAATACTTTATCCTCTTTTTCTAAAGTAACTGAAACCTCCTCGTTTCAGTATGGATTATAATGTAAATGTACCTTCACCTTTACCCAGGCCTTCTTCTGTCCTGGAGGAGGATGCCAGGAGCAGAATTCAATAACCCCACCCTAGAAAAATGCCAAACCCAGCTGGCTCCAGTCACACTGGCCTTCGTTTTCAGGCACTAGAACGTGCCAAGATATTTGTTTCTCACTTGAGGCCTTCACACATGCTAATCCCTGTGCCTGGAATGTTCTTTCTCTTGCCTGGACTCTCTCCCTATGCCCCCAACACAACTTATCACACATACTCGGCTCCAATATCAGCTTCTCAGCAACAGCTTCTGTCCTTACTTTTTCATTTTTCTTTATCACACATAAGCTTATCTATTCCCTTCACCACCCCTACCACAACCATAATTTTTTATTATTTACTTGCTTATTATCAATCCCTCCCTAATAAATGGTGAGCTCCAGGAATCAGAAATCAGACGTGTTCTGTGCACCAAAAATAGACACACAGATCAATAGAATAGAAGAGAGAGCCCAGAAATAAACCTACGCTTATATGGTCAATTAATCTATGACAAAGGAGGCAAGAATATACAATGGGGGAAAGACAGTCTCTTCAATAAATGGTGTTGGGAAAACTGGACAGCCACATGCAAAAGAATGAAACTGGACCACTTTCTGACATCACACACACAAATGTGGGACCTAAAACCATAAAAATCCAAAAAGAGAACACAGGCAGTAATTTCTCTGACATGGGCTATAGCAACATTTTTCTAGAAATGTCTCCTGAGGCAAGGGAAACAAAAGCAAAAGCAAACTATTGGGACTACACCAAAATAAAAAGCTTCTGCACACCCAAGGAAACAGTCAACAAAACAAAAAGGCAGCCTACAGAATGGGAAAAGATACTTGCAAGTGATCTATCTGGTAAGGGGCTAATATCTAAAATATGTAAAGGACTCCTACAACTCCATGCCAAAAAAAAATAATCTAATTGAAAATGGGTAGAGAACCGGAACAGACATGTTTCCAAAGAAAACACACAGATGGCCAACAGACACGTGGAAAGTAGCTCAACATCACCATTCATCAGGGAAATGAAAATCAAAACAATGAGAGAATACCTCACACTTCTCAGAATGGCTAGAATCAGACACAAAACTAACAGGTGTTGGTGAGGATGTGGAGAATAGGGAACCCATGTGCACTGCTGGTGGGAGTGTAAATTGGTCCAACCACTGTGGAAAACAGCATGGAGGCTCCTCAAAAAATTAAAAATAGAAATACCATATGACCCAATAATTCCACTACTGGATACTTCCCCAAAGAAAGCAAAAACACTCATTCAAAAAGATATATGCATCCCTATGTTCATTACAGCATTATTTATAGTAACCAAGACATGGAAGCAACCAAAGTGTTCATCCGTAGATGAATGAATAAGGAAGATGTGGGGCATATGTGTGTGTGTGTGTGTGTGTGTAATAGAAAGAGAGAACAGGATATTACACAGCCATAAAAAAAAAAGATGAGATCTTGCCATTTATGACAACAAGGATGGACCTAGAGGGTACCACGTTAAGTGAAATAAATCAGAGAAAGACAAATACCATATGATTTCACTTATATGTGAAATCTAAAAAACAAAGCAAATGAATAAACAAAAAGCAGAATCAAGGACTCCTGGGTGGCTCAGTTGGTTAAGCGTCTTGACTCTTGACCCCAACTCAGGTCTTGATCTCAGGGTTGTAAGTTCAAGCCCTGCTTTGGGCTCCACACTAGGCATGGAGCCTACTTAAAAAAAAGAAGAAGAAGAAAGACGAAAGAAGAGGAAGAAGAAGAAGAAGAAGAAGAGGAAGAGGAAGAAGAAGGAGAAGAAGGAGAAGGAGAAGGAGAAGGAGGAGGAGGAGGAGGAGGAGGAGGAGGAGAAGGAGAAAAAGAAGAAGAAGAAGAAGGAGGAGGAGGAGGAGGAGGAGGAGGGGAGGACTGGAAGAGGAAGAAGGAAAAAAAAATGAAAAAAGAGCAGAATCAGACCTATAAATACAGAGAACAAACTGTATTGTTCTCTGATGGCTACCTGAAGGGAGAAGGGAAGAGAATGGGCAAAATGGGGGAAGGGGGAGGGAGGAGAGACCCTTCTAGTTATGGAAAGAAGGGTCACAGGAAGAGAAGGCACAGCATAAGGAATGTAGCCCATGATACTGTAATAGCACCGAATGCTGACAGATGGCAGCTACGCTTGCGGTGAGCCGAGCACAAGGTATAAACTTGTCTCATCGCTAAGTTGCACACCTGAAACTAACGTAACATTGTATGTCAACTATATCCAAATAAAAAAATTGAAAAATTAAAATTAAAAACTTTAATTCATTTCACCCTCTGCTTGCTTGTTCATGGTTTCCCAGAACTCAGATGTAATTCTTACCTCTTTGCTCATCTACAAATAGGTCGTACCCCTCCCAGATTGCTTTTTAATGAAAATTTAAAATAACAATTTCTTTTAAAAAAGAAGGAAAGAAATCAGACATGTTTTGTAAATTACTTAACACCCAGGGCCTGGAGCACAGGAGGCACGCAAACATTCGTCTGGATTGATCAATTAATTAATTATTTGAAACAAACAAATGAGGGGCACCCGGGTGGCTCAGTCGGTTAAGCATCCAACTCTTGATTTCAGCACAGGTCATGATCTCAGGGTCCTGGAATCGAGTCCCATATTGGGCTCCACGCTCAGCCAGGAGTCTGCTTGAGGATTCTCTCTCTTCCTCTCCCTCTGCCCCTCCCCCTGCCTCTCTCTCTCTCTCAAGTAAATAATCTTTAAAACAAAACAAAATAAATGAGAGCATGGTATGATCAATAGTGGCAAACCTCTAAATCCTGGTGGGAAGCTCTTTATGCTCAGAGGCTCCAGGTTCAGCCCTGGAGCCAGAAGTCTACCTTCTCATCCCAGCAGGAGATGGACTCTTTGAGGATATCACTTGTCTGCTGATTTCTCTGGGAAAGTTTCAGACTCAGAAATCGACCCTCCGCTCGTGATCTGGCTTACAAATGCAGGTGTATCTCATTTTATTGCACATCGCTTTATTGCACTTTGTAGACACTGCATTTTTTTTTACAAATTGAAGGCTTAATGGTCACCCTGTGTCAAGCAAGTGTATCGGGGCCATTTTCCCAACAGCATTTGCTCACTTGCCTCTGTGTCACATTTTGGTAACTCTTAAAATATTTCAAAGGCTTCTGTTATTATTATGTTTGCTGCGGTCATCTGTGATCAGAGATTACAACTCACTGAAAGCTCAAATGATGGTTAGCATTTGTTGGCGATAAACTTTTTACTTAAGATGCGAATCTGCTTTTTAGACATAATGCTATTGCACACTTAACAGGCTAGAGTGTAGACACAGCTTTTATATGCATGGGGAAACCAAAAAATTCATCTGATATGCTTTACTGCACTATTCATTTTACGACGGTGGTCTGGAACCAAACCCACAGTATCTCTGAGGCCCTTCCTATAATAAAAGCATGCCCTGGTCACACACACATCAGCTGCTGTGGTCCCCAGGACAATAGTTTCCCATGCTAAATTAATAAAGCAGTGTTGGGTTATGACCTGGCTTCCCATATAAATGGACTTCAGGGAGAAATGCAATGAAAATACCAACACAACATTCGACAGCTGGATCTCTCTTTATAAATTAATAAATCGGCATCCTGACACTAAAAAAAAAAAAAAAAGCCTCTCCATTTTAAATTTGAAAAAAAAAACCTTAAAAGCTTAGGAGTTATGGGTCATAAGAATTAGATAACAGAGGGTATTTTGGCAATGCATATATAAAACCTTTAAAATGTACATAGTACTTGACCCAGAAATTCAAGTAGTAGGAATGTATCCCAAGAAAATAATCAGAAATGCATGTTAAAATTTAGTCCCAAGAATGTTTACTGTAGCACTGTCTACAACAGAAGCTGGAAACTTAAATATCCAATAATATGGGATTGAATAGATAATTTGTGGTAATCCCTATTAAGAAATACTCTGGGGGTGCCTGGGTGGCTCAGTTGGTTGGGCGACTGCCTTCGGCTCGGGTCATGATCCTGGAGTCCCAGGATCAAGTCCTGCATCGGGCTCCCTGCTTGGCAGGGAGTCTGCTTCTCCCTCTGACCCTCCTCCCTCTCATGCTCTCTGTCTCTCATTCTCTCTGTCTCAAATAAATAAAAATAAAAATCTTTAAAAAAAAAAAAAAAAAAAGAAATACTCTGCAGCTGGGGCACCTGGGTGGCTCAGTTGGTTAAGCAACTACCTACGGCTCAGGTCATGACCCTAGGGTCCTGGGATCGAGTCCTGCAACAGGCTCCTTGCTCAGCAGGGAGCCTGCTTCTCCCTCTCCCACTGCCCTGCCTGTGCTCTCTCTCTCTGTCAAATAAATAAATAAAATCTTTTTAAAAAAAGGAAATACTCTGCAGCTTTTCAAAATATCTTACTGAATAGAATAATAATTAATGGCATGGGAAGAAGGCTCATCATATACTAAAAGCAAAAATAGTGGGTTATGAATCAATACTCACGCACTGCAGTAGTTAGCTGGGTGGTGGTGTCATGTGTGATTTCTATCTTCCTATGTTTATCTGCATTTATAAATTTCCTGAGTGTCATGTATCACACAATGTATATATAAAACCTTTAAAATGTGCATAGTACTTGATCCATTCATGTATTTTGAAAAATGTTTATCTACAAATATAAATTTTAACCAGTCACAAAAAGACAAACACTCTATGATTCCACCTACATAAGCTACCTAGAGTAGTCAAATGAGAGAGGCAGGAAGTAGCACGGGCGGGGGTGGAGTGGGGAGTTACTGTTTAATGAGTACGGAGTTTCAGTGCTGCAAGATGAAGAGAGTTCTAGAGATGGGCGGTGGTGATGGTTGCACGACAGTGTGAATGGGCTTAATGCCCCTGAACTGTACACTTAAAAAGGGTTAATATGGTAAATTGTGTGTTATGTGTATTTTATCACAATTTTCTTTAAAACAAAACAGAATAAAACAGGAAAAAAAAAGGGGGCGCCCGGGTGACTCAGTCGGTTAAGCGTCTGACTCTTGATTTTGGCTCAGGTCATGATCTCAGGGTCCTGGGATCGAGCTCCGAGTTGCTGGGCTCTGCGCTCAGCGGGGAGTCTGCTGGAGGATTCTCTCTCCTTCTCCCTCTGCCCCTCCCCCTGCTCGTGCTCGAGTAAATCATCCAAGTACCCCTGGATCTAGAGGTGTCTTAGTTACTAGGATTTTCAAGAGACAGGAGTAGCTCATGTAACACCTGTGTGTCGACTTTACTTCAATTTTAATAAAAGAGCCGAGGGGCAGGAGCAGAGAAGGCAGAATGTGACTTCAGGCTGCCTGGCACCAAGCGCCACAACCCACGGTGGCCGCCAGGGCTGGAGCGCGCCTCGGGACGAGCAAGCGTTGGCCTCGTTTCCTGACCACCTGCATTGGCCATGGGGGCTCCTGTCTCTCCTCTCCTGAGCATGGAGTTCTCCTCCTCTCTCGCTAGCGCCCCTCAGCTTGACTCTCAGACGAAGGAACTGATTGGGCTGCCCCCGAAGCCCCGTTTCCCCGAGTCTGGCTCCAGGGACTACATCCTCCGTAGGCCATGGGGTAAGGGATTTGCCCCCCGAATCCTTCAGCTAGTCACTGGGAGAGTCAGGCAAAGAAGAGACTCTCCCCTCGAAGTCAAGATGATTCCCCTCTGTACCAACGAAGAAAGAACTAGATTCACCAAACAAAAATTCCTCCTTTATTCATCAAGAGGATGCCCAGCGCTTTGCTACTGGAAGGGGGTGCAGTGCCAGGTTCCTGACGGCGGGGCCCGCGGCTGTCTCTTAGCGGTGCTAGGAGGTGGGAGGCTGAGCTTCAATCGCTAACACACTCATGCACGGACACAGGAACAGTAAGTTTTCCGAGGCCTTCAGAGTTGACGGGGCCAGGGCAAGACAGAGACTCGGGCTTTTCTTACCTGCTGTAGGCACGCTAACGTTATACTGAGGTAAAATAAATAGGAAGGCAGTCTTGGCGGTGACCTGTAAAATAAAGGAAAAATGTTCCGATTTAGCTTCTTGGTCACATCAGAAGAAACAAGCGGATCCTGCTACCAGCCCCCAGGGCCCTTCCCTTTTGCATCTCAGACCCACAGACCTGTTCCATTACACACAGTAGAACCTCAGAAGGAGTTAGCACTGTGTGTGTGTGTTTGTTTGTTTGTTTCCCCGTGTTTCTTGAACGTCATGCCTCCCAATACCTGCACTAAAAACAAACAAGACAGTGCTGGGCACTGGGTGGTATCTAGGCTTGTACTTGCTGCAGATGAAACCAAACAAGCCGAGAGCTCACAAGCTAAGGGCACAGACCTGCCTGCCATCCATTCAAGTATTTATTAAGTTAGTCCTAGGCACCCGGCACTGTGGAAGACAGCAGCCGGTAGAAAATGAGGACTCCGACTTCAAGAAGCTTCCACGGGGCGGCGGTCTCCCCAGCACACCAGCCCCCGAAGTCTACACCCGAGCTTCAGAAACCGAGAACCGCAACTGCTAAGTTCACATCCACTGTGCTGGGGGGCCAGACTTAACACCCCACACTACTGGCTTGTTTATTTCGAACGCTGCCTCGAAAATCTTACTTGTGCTGTCCCTAGTCTATGCTTGTCACCTGGCTAACAGCAGCCAAATCAGTACTTGGGCAGTTCGGCCTGCAGGGAAGAGCTGACCAAATGTGGGGGTTCAAAGCTTGGACTTAAGGATCGACTGACTACCTGGGTTCAAATGCTGCCTCTGCCGTTGCTGGGTGTGTAAGCTCAGACCCCGAGCCTCAGTCTCCCTGTGCACAAGATCAGGGACATTCGTAGTCCCCCAGCTGCTCTGGGTGGCACTGGCCCAGCTGCTAGTGTGGTTAAAGGCTCCCCAGATGTTTCTGATGTGCAGCTGGGGCTCAGAAGCCCCACCCACACCGTTCCGAAGCAGGGGAGGACGCCCCCGGATACACCTCAGCCATAAAGACTTACTGGTTCTCCTCTAAGCAAAAAAGTCTGAAGGCTGTACTGTGGGTGGGGGGGAAACACACTGGGCATAGCCAAAGCAGCGTGGAACCGAGTGAACGACGCACTGCAGACCCTCCCGGGTGGACTCTCAACACACCCAGAAGGAGGGGACTGTTTTTGGCCACTGTCCCCGTCAACAAGCCCCATGTCTCTGCAGCGAGGTTCTCTTTGTACACAGCGATGCATGAGGCTTCGCGTGTATTTGTGCTGTTGTCTGGGACATGTTCTGTCATGCTCGCAGGGAAAAAGTTAAATGAGACTAGGGATAAGAAGGCGCTCTGGAAAACACAAAGCCCTATCCAAATACACAGGTCTTGGGGCGCCTGGGTGGCTCAGTCGTTAAGCGTCTGCCTTTGGCTCCGGTCATGATCCCAGGGTCCTGGGATCGAGCCCTGCATCGGGCTCTCTGCTCGGTGGGAAGCCTGCTTCTCCCTCTCCCACTCCCCCTGCTTGTGTTCCCTCTCTCGCTGTGTCTCTCTCTGTCAAATAAATAAATAAAATCTTTAAAAAAAACCCCAAATACACAGGTCTTCCCCGATCTCCACCCCAAAACCTTTCTACTGTGGTCCACAAGACCTTTTTCAGGGGGCTCCCAATCTCCCTTCTAGTCAATTGCTTGTGTTTCAGCCAAACCCCTTTTGGGGGCTTTAGCCCCTCTCACTTTGTATCCTACTTTTGTTACACTCCCCCCACACACACACACCCCAAATCCTATTGATCAGAATCTCATTTATCCATCATAACCCAGCTCCCCTGTAGCCCCTCCAGGAAGCCTTCCATAACAGCTCACAGGGGGGGATGCCTTCTTCTCCTGGAGGTGCCCTCCACCATGCCCCCCATACCACCCTTTCAGTCTCCTCCTTATAGTTCTCCTCACATGCCGCTCCTTGCACACAGGGACTAACCCAGATGTACATGGGAAGGGCTCAGGAACCACTCAATGGACAAGATGGAAAATCGAAAGCTGAGTCTGGGCTGGCTTGCTTCACTCAGCTGTTCTGTCCCCACTCGTTCACGGGAGCTGCCCCACTGCCATCACTCTGGCCGTCTCCCTGTCACCTCACTGTCACCCCAGCCTCCTCCTTGACACCATCTGGCTGCTAACCCACCGGAACCCATGCCGTCATGAAGCCCAGCCCCCCCCACCACTCCAGCCACGGCGGTGCCCCTCCTGAACTCCACTCACAGTGGTCATCCTTGACCCAACTGCCTGACTCAGTGCTGTCCACCATGACTCCTTCGAGGGTAAGCCTTGTCTTCTCAGGCTGACAGCCCTGCGAGAGAAGACGTGGAAGCCAGAGGGAATGGGAGAAGGGAAGAGAGAGGAGGAAGGCAAGCAGACAGGCAAGAAGACAGTATTTACCCAACACTGCGCATGTTCTAGGCACAAATCTCCATTCAGTTTCATCCGGGAAACACACCCATCTTTTAAGTTCGTGGGGTGGAGTGGGCCTCCATGAGGTTTTGGCTGACCAGTATCACAACCCCTCTGTGTTCTTTGCCTTCCTCCCTTCAGCAGCCCACGTTCATGTCTCCCTCCATATGTTTGGTGCCAATTCCCGAGCACTCTTCCTATGCATGCATCCATTTGGAATTTATTTCATTTTATTTTGACACTGTAACTCGAGCTGTGTTTATATAACTTGACGCAAGGGATGAAAGAGTGAAAAAAATTTAAAAAGAGCTACACCTTATAAATAACATTTAAATCACATTTTTAGCTGTCAGTGAAACGGTTACTGCAGTATCCTATAGGCCAAGATATAAATCTACTCAATGTACATCAAAGTATTTGAAGTATAGTTAGCTACATGGAAAATGTGTAGGTCAACTTTTGTTTACTCATGTCAACATACAAACACCTGGGTATATAATAAAAACTTCCTGACACATTCTAGTACTTTTCATTAATATTTTTCACAGGGCCACCAATATTTGACACCAAAAGCTCATCTAAATAAAATGGGATCTGACGGTGTATATAAATGTATAGAGTCTGCTACTCTAACTCCTGAAAGAATCATCCCACTTTTTTTTCTTTGAGGAAGATAGACATTTGGTATACGGGCTGTGCCTGTATTTTTTCCCTAGTCCTGAAGATAGAGTCACCTCTTGTTATTCACATTAGTTCTGTTCAATGAAGTCACTGCGGGTGCTGAGTTAGTGGACACGGGACTGTTTCTCCCCGGGGAAATACACGGTTAGGTACCCACGGTCTCTGGTCACAACATTTCCATCAACCCATCAATATACAACCTTGTTTATGTGCGTTTTTCTTTAAAGATGCGATATTTAATGTATCTTGCTGAAGCATGAACACTGAACCCATAGCCAACAGCACTACAATTCGTGCCTATGGAGGCTTATCTAACACACGTATGTTCTCGGTGAGGCGTATCAGAGCCTTCTCATGCTTACGAACAACAGTGCTTCAGCACCCGGGGTAAGAATCATTTTAAACAGCAAAATCAGCAACAAAACACACAAACATGCAAAAAAAAAAAAAAAAAGTGGCACGACATAGACCACAAAAAGGACACTTGCTTACAACAGGAGAGCTGAAACTAGAAGGCAAAGCATTGTCTTGTTTGACTTCAGCTGGGAACGTGCTTGTGGGGTGACTCAAATTTTCCACTGCTGTGTGTGTGTCCACAAACGACTGCAGAATCGCCCGGTGCTGATTTTAGAGTTACAAATAAATTTTAGCAAGCAGGAGCATCAGCAGACACAAAATGTGTGAAGGATGAGGATCAACTGCGTTGGGACAAACCTGACAGCCAGCTCCATGAGGACCAAGATATTTCCTTTCGAAACACCTTTTTGAAGTATAATTTACACACTATAAAATTTACCCATTGTAAGTGTACAGCTTAATGGGGTTTATCTTTACTTACTTTTAAACTCTCCCTTCACTGGAATAGAAGTACTAGGGAAGTGGGATCTTACTTGTCTTGGTTATCTTCAATCCATAGCCTGAAACTGTGCCTAGGACACAACCAGCACTCAATAAGCACTTGTTAAATGAACACAGTGATTAAATAGAGGAGCCAGGATTGTGCTCAGGTAGCTGACCCTCAGCCTGTCATCTGCCCACATTTATGCTTGTAACCATGTCCTCTCTCCCTGCCTGGGATCCCCAGTGCTGGGCCTGTCGTAGGGTATCTCATAAATACCTATTTGATGAACTAACACTGCAAGCAGCTATAATAGTAACCACAGATGAATGCTTAACAAATGGTTTCCGAACATGATTCTCAGAGAATAGGATCTAGGACTCTGATTAAAGCAAAAACACCAAATTCCAGTATTTTTCCATCCCCAACCCCTGGGTAGCAGCAGAAGAAACCATTCTGGGCCATGCATCCTTCTCTGTCGGCAGCCATGCTCGCTCCCACTTCACTACGTCTCAGCAAGCTGATGTCAGTTTCCTCGTTTTATAGAAGAAGAAGATAAAAGTGGAGCCCAGACGCGCAGACGCGTACAGTGGCCTCCTGAGACCTCACAACTTTATAAGCAGAAAAGGCACGTTCAATTTGAGTCTTAAAAAATGTGTTCCAAAAACAAACTTAGGATACACACAATATGGCACATAAAACAGAATGGCAACTAATAAAAGAGAAGCAGGAGAGGACCAAAAGTATCTACTGAAGGCAAAGAGGAGTAAGGAATGAAGCTGATCCACAAAAATGCAGTCCAGGAAGTCCTTCTCACTGGCTAAACGTGGCCAGAAATTTGGCTCTACGCTTTCCTGAAGCCATGTGAAGGGGGAAGGCATGATCTGCTCCTTCATTCACCACGTTCATTAATTTAAAAAGCAAAAAGACTCCTCAAAAAAAGCAGTTCTACTTCTCCAGCATAAAAACCACTTTCCACGCTTTAGAAGGTCCTTTGGCACCTCAAAACCTCCCTCCATAACCTTCTGCCAACCTCAGAGCAAGGACAGAACAATGACCAAGCCCCCTCCGCAAGTTCTCGTTGGGTTCATAGAGCACACGGGGCTGAGAAAGAGGAGCCTATTAAAAATGTCATTCCAATTATTTCCCATCCCTCTAAGGCTGTTTATAGGAAACATTATTGGGTTTAATAGCATTTTAAACGCCAGGCTCAGTGGGTGAAAGGTTAAAAGTGAAAATGTGCTAATACACTAATGCAAAGGGAGAACACTAAATTATGAAGGAGGGGCCAGATCTCCCTCCCTCCCTCCCTCCCTTCTCTCTCTCTCTCACACACACACACACACAGAAAGCTGCACTGAACTTTTTAACTAAAACAGAGCATCAAGCACAAAGGCAGTGACACTGAGCATATGACTGAGTAGCCATAACAAAACTAAAACTGTTCTACACGCCGTACTCTGTTAGGGGCGCATGAAGCTGAGCTCTTGCTTGCAACCAGACCAAAGATGCCAGCAAAACAGCTGCTTCTGGCAAAGCATACTGGACTTGGATTCCAGGCTCAGTTCTGCTGCAGGGCAGGTGGGTGACCTCAGGCAAAGGTATTTTACCTCGCTGGACCCCATTTTCTCATCCATTCGCAACAACAACAGTTATGGCAGTTAATATTATCAAGTGCTTAGTCAGCACCTGGCGTGGTCCTAGGGGCTTTACGTAAATTATTTCATGGAATGCTCACAACAGCTCTATAGAATAGATACTGAAGATATCCCCATTTTACAGATAAGGTGGAAAGGATCAGGCCAAGTCAGGCAGAATGGATGATCTGAAAGATCCTCCCATGCTCAGGGGGAGTGTATATGTAAATAACATATACACTTTCTCATGTATAATAATAAAGGCTATTATTTCTGGATCCCACTTACTGTCAAGCCCCGGGAGCACAGCCTTACACTGCCAACTTGCTGGAGGTCATCCCCAAAGTCCCAACTGTATTACTCCTCCTCCACCTTGTGGGGCCGGGGCCTGGGTATGACCTGTATCTGACAGAGCGAGGAAGCAAGGCCTCTCGAGCTGACCCCCCAGCCAGCCAGCCACAGACCCCAGGCACACCTAGGCTTTCCGAATGCCCCAAACTGTTGTCTCTTCCATGCCAGTTGATATCTGGGCACCAAAGATAAGAGAGAAGAAATGCAATGAAAGCAGACTCGTCGCTTTCCTCTTAGGTAGCATTTCACCCTCAGGTCTGGCTGGTTCTCTTCATTCCTTGGCAGACACAACCACGCGTGGGCACTTGGAAGGGGCTGGGTGGGAGGACCAGCCACTGAGGACAGGACAGGGTATGAGGCCTGAGTCACAGAAGCAGCTCTGTTCCATCAGCTGCCGCCCCACGACCACCACTCCCACCTCGGGGCTAGAACACAAAGAGCAGCATGTGGGGAACCCTGACCCCACGAGGGACAGCGAGCTTGGGGTCTCTCCTCCTGAGAAGCACAGGGAGGGCCACATGAAACGTCCTGGTCCCCCAGCTCAGCCAAATGGGCTCAACTCAGACTTTCCCAAAATTGATTTTGCATCTTGCTGCTGAGGCAGTGGATAGGAAAATTTCAGTCAGACAGGAAAACATTTGAAAGTTACGCCCAATTGGTGGGGAAGATTTTTTTTTTTTTTTTTTTTTTTTAAATAAAGAGTCTTTTAGCCCCTCTTTCCTGGAGCGTTTGTTCCCCGAGGCTCCTGCTTCGGCTGGTCACCTGCACGCACGTTTTTATGACCGGGACTCGATGTACCCAGTTTGCAGCCCCTCGTCACTCAATAAAAGGCAGATACAGCTGAAACAAAGATGCTCTTCACTCCTGCTCTCTGAAAGCCTCCGTTTTGGATGACCAGAAGCTGGCGGGGAGGGCCGGGTGCCTGAAACCAGGAGGCAGAGTTCTGACAGTACCTTTCTGTGTGGTTTTTAGCAACGCCTAGAGATTCTGGTTTTTTCACTTGAAAAACTGCCTTGATAGAAGAATTTAGCAAAGCTACACAAACACACATACGCAGATTCTCGACAAGCCCATGTTCCCAAGGCTGAATAGACTCACCCTTAAGAGTCACGATCACAGTTTTATATTGGATTAAAAAATGACAATG